TGGCCCTGTCACAAGACTACCATGGACTGGTTAGGACCACAATGACTTAGTCCTACACCTTGACGTTACTGGGTGGCTATAAAACGGTATCACACGTTTCCTTTATGTAAGGGAAATCCCGCTTGTGCTTGCTGACTGGCTGAGCATTGTACTACCGAAGGACAATTTTCCTTGGAGGAACTTGGTTTTGTTGGTGCCTCCCACAAGCCATAAGTGAGACTTGAGCTCCAAAGATCTTAACAATTGATAAGCGGACTAGATAGCAACAAGTATGGATGACTATTGTAGCAGGAAGGAATCCAAGCTTTAAAGCACTATTTGGGGAGTGGCTAGCTATTACTCCATATACAATGTCAGCAATCTTTCGATAATGATGATTTGCCGCCGCTTGGGTCCCTTGTCATTGGCTGAAGCGTACATTTGCAGCAAGTCACTATGCAGAGTTCGCGTGGCATGATACCTGCACTATGTTTCTTCAACACCATCCTACGAACACAAGCAGGTGCAAAGAGTCGCAGCCAAGGAGGCGGGGAAGTCATTTCTGAGGTAGCCAAGCTCAAGCTCAATGGGACCAGCAATCTGGGGAGAGACGGGTCTGAACTAGTGGACCATCGGAACGAGTTAAACCAATTACGCATGGCTCAAGTGAACATGAGGCATACCTAGATTTGGCAATAAAACGGGCAATTTGCCCTCGAATTCGTTTTGGGCCGTGCCGCCTCTGTCTGGATCGTATAGCAGGCTGAAGCTGATTGCGCATGGACTTTCTTTTCTTAGTCTAGTGCCGGGCTATCTGGACCGAAACAACCGGATAACAACCACGCCTATCAATAACCAAAATGACAGCCTTGATCATATGTGGGGCGTTTAGAAACTGTGTAAAATATAAACGATTTTTGAGAAGGAGAATACTATCTGTATAAGAATTGTAGATAGGTAGAGAGTAGGTGCTGATAGCTTCATTCCGTAGTTGCATTGTTGTGGGAGGGGCAGTTTTGATTCTGATTCGGCTATCCCAGTCCCCCAAGAACTGGGGTACATGACGCAGATTTTTACCCTAGTTCCATGATATCTCATCCCGTCCTGATAGCGCCAATCTTACCCTCTCCGCAGAGATAAGTCCCTATCAGGGTTAAGGGCAGGGTGGAGAGCTAGTGTGTATATCTATCTTCGTTATTTGCTCGCAAGGCCCCGTATGGGTGACAGGAGAACTGCGCGATAGAGAGGTGGCTCTCTTCTCTTCAACCTTTTCACTGCGACAGCATCCCTTACAGCACACGCTTCCTGCTCAATAAAAGCTCCCGGCAGACCGGACCTACTTACTCTCCACGCGAAAGGCCTCACGTCCCGTCAAGCGGGGCCTTTATAGGAAAACTTGGTCCCAAGGACGTCGTCAACACCCAAGCCGCAAACGAAAGAAGACAACAGCTATGGGTACAGCAGCTATGGATTTGACGAAACCCAGCAAGGAGCCTGCCCGCCGGGCTTCCACAACCTCGAGCAACAATGCTGTTGAACTCGGCACCTCGTCATCCTACCACCAAGCATCCCTCACACTCAAGTTCGACTTCATCTCCATGCTCGCCATGTCCTTCTGTATCCTCGGAACCTACTCAACCTTTGCCCAAGGCCTTAGCTCAGGCTTGACTAACGGCGGTCCCGTGGCAATTCTCTGGGGCCTCGTCCTAGTTTTCTCCTGCAACATCTGCGTAGGCCTTTCTCTCGGGGAACTGTGCTCTTCCATGCCCACGGCTCTAGGGCAAGCGTATTGGGCCCATCGCTTACTCGAGAAACATCCTGCTGGAAGGTTCTTGTCGTACATGACGGCGTGGATAAATACCTTTGGGTGGTGGACATTGACTGCGAGTCAAGTAGCGTTCATGACTGAGTTTTTGCTGGGGATGAAAGTCATGTTTGATCCAGAGTGGGATGGTGCGGCGAAAGCGTGGGTAAATTTCATGGTTTACCTGGGTGTCACGATGCTTTTTACCGTGGTGAATGTTGCAGCATGCCGGAGCAATAGGTTTTTGGCAATTTTCAATGACGTTGTTGGCTTCTGGTTTGTAGTACTTTTCTTCGCGATTATGTTGGCGCTACTGATTTCGGTCGGTATTAAAGACGGGATGGAGTACCAGTCTCCGAAGTTTGTATTTGGAGGTTGGGAGAACAAGACGGGATGGGGGGACGGGGTTGTATGGTTTTTGGGACTATTGCAGGCCGCTTATGGATTGACGGCCTTCGATTCGACGATTCACAGTAAGGATTTCAGCTGCTGTCGGGTTGATATGGTGGGCTAACTGATATTTAACAGTGATTGAAGAGATCCCAGCTCCGAGATCAAACGGACCGAAAGTCATCTGGCTAGCCATTGTATGCGGCGCAATTAGCGGTTTCGTCTTCATGGTGGTTTGTCTGTTCTGCGTCCAGGACCTAGATCTTGTTATCGATGGGCCAACTGGATTGCCGTTTATCGAACTTGTCCATCAGACGGTCGGATTAAAGGGCGGAGCCACTCTAATGGTGTTGTTCATCGTCAGCGGACTGGGTCAAGGTGTAAGCCTCGCAACTACTGGCGGTCGCTTGACCTGGGGGTTCGCTCGAGACGGTGGGCTTCCATTCAGCACCTACTTTTCCCAGATCGACTCAACCTGGATGGGTCCTGTACGAGCACAGTGGCTGCAGGGCGTTATCATTGGCGTTGTTGGCGTACTTTACTTTTTTGCCTCGACAGTTCTGACGGCAATTTTGAGTGTAAGCACGATTGCATTAACCATATCTTACGGCATACCGATCGCTTGTCTCTTGTTCGTTGGGCGAGACAAGCTTCCCAACGGAGGAACATTCAACCTTGGTAGACTCGGGGCGCTCCTCAACTGGATCAGCGTGATCTACTGTGCGGTAACCACGGTATTCTTCTTCTTTCCAGGGGTGCCAGACCCTAGTATATCTGACATGAACTGGGCTATTGCGGTTTTTGGTGTGATGCTCGTCATATCAGTGGTCTTTTGGCTCGTTACAGGAAAGGGCGAATATCTCCAAACGCATGGAGCAGAACTAAGGCTTGAGCTCGCAGGGAGATTAATAGCAGTAGATCGCGCGCATCATGAAACATAGTACAAGAACCTTGAGTTTGAAGGTACTTTTCTTGCGATCACAGAAAAATGTTACATAAAATGCTATAGCGTAATTCTAGACTCACCCTCATTGCAGAATGAGATTGAGTTACTTTCTGATTCAACGCCAAATTGAAGAGGCTACAAACAAACGACCGAGTCATTGTAACGGCTCTTACCGTACTTAATGGCCAACTCAAAAAACATCGATGATCAGCCGTAGCAGTACACCTAGTGGCATTAGTGGCATTAGTGGCAATGGTAGTAAGAGGGGTAATAGCAAGTATCCCGAGACGGATAATATCCGCTGCTAGTTTTCCAAGCGTTACAACGTGTCGGGAAGCACCCTTTGCCCAATCAGTTAGCGTTATTTGAACCCATAGATCCTCCAAAATGACAAGGATTAGGCTAACTACAGCCTCTATGTGTTTCCACATTTCCAAAGATTGCCACCAGGATCGCACTCCCAAAAATGATTCAATTAACGCCAAGGACGCTTTCAGTTGGCAAAGTGCCTTTTCGCCACCTGATCATTATTGGTAGCGAAAAGTGCGTCAGCAGACACTGTGTATTTCATTTCAATTGGCCTAAAAAAACGAACGTGATTAGCGAAGCCTTGTAACGAGTTTCATCATTGGGAAGCCAACCAACGGTCACATCAGAAGGTGACGATCCACTCGAGGCAACAATCATGTGACCGATACCTCGCCAATACTGCGGTATCTCCGATATTACTGAAATTAGGACGAAAGACTGACTATAGGATGTAAAGCAAGAAGTGCAAAGCGTAGCCGGCTAAACGCCCTGTGTAAAGGGCTATGCCTTTTACCTTTCAACTAGTTATGTGACACATCACAGGAAAATAACAGTAACACAACTTTGCGTCCATACGCTCAATTGACCGACTAAGATTGTGTGAACCAGTGGAGTAAAACAGCCTTACTTGTTACTATTGTTATAATTCTTGGCAATAACTCAACATATACTCGTTCAACAGGCCTCTTCGACTATGACGAGAAGAATGATTTCTTGTAAGAGATAGAGTAAATATCGAATCAACTTGAGTTAGAGGAGAAAAAACAAAAACTATGCAGACAGAATCACCTCTACTCAACATACTTGCTAGGCAGGTGTGGGACACGCACTAGCGAATGGCATTCGCGGAAGTGCCTCCGTAGCGCTAATTCTGGTTGAGTGTGGAGCGTGGCTTCAAGTGAAACACGTTACCGTGTATACTTCGACAAGGCAGGCAGGCAGATCAATGAACGCGAACCACTCCACATTTTTCTTCCTACATATAATAACATATGTTCTTCAAACTCTAATGTCATGTCGCAAGCCACACTCACCCTACTTTCCCGCTTCGAGCTCGCCTCTGTTCACCTCCGTTCCGATGCTGCCTGCTCAAGCATCCACTAAGAACATGCCGTGCGCCACCGCCACTTACTCCGCACCCTCCCCGCTATATTACTGGATCTAAACACATCCGCTGGCGTCGGGCGTAGTTGGAAGATCCCTCAACGCGCCAATAACGAGTAATTGGAAAGGAGATCGGGCTGCTAATGCTGGGCTAATGTATCGCCACGCAAAAGGGGTGATCTGCAAACAGGGAGAGGGGTGATCCGACATGACCCCGTTTCCCCTACTTACACAGTTTGCCATTTTCTAAATTACCATGGTGCAGCCTTAAAATTTGTGCCTTGTTTGCTAATGCACATGCGCTATGCTATCTTTTGGCAAAACTGCAGCTAGGACTTTCATTCTTCCTTGGTGGCTGGGCGAACTTTGCATATGAGCAATTGCATTTAGACCTTTTAGACAACTTCACTCTCAAATGTGCTAGTCACCTTCAATATGAGAGTCGCCGTTTCTCTCACTGGGGCCCAAATGTTCGATGCGGCGAAGGAACCGAGGGCGAGTGGGGGTGCTGGGTCTCGGACATATACAGGGGAGAGGCCGCTGGATCGTACGCTGTTTATCCTACTATCCCTGGGTATCGTGACGATGTCTTCGCTTCTACTTGGTTGGTATTTGAGATTCGCTGTCGCAGCTACTCTACTAATGCAGTTGTAGGCTCCCGCTTCAATCGGTTAAGGCGAAATGCCGGCATGAAACGGAACATGACTTTCACGCTTGTGCTCCTCTTGTATGTCCTACTCATGATGTTCGTCACCACTCTATTGGTATTGCACAGCGGCCAAGGATTGTATACCTACAATCTTTGCCTTGCAACTACCTGGGTTTGTCTCGTCCTCTATGCGTTGACAAAAAGCGTAATGTTAGCTCATACCATCAACCTTGATAGGAACAATCACTAATGACGTTACCAGCTATATCTTTCTTGTTGAGCGCATTCATGTCGTTCGTGCACCATTTTTCACTCGCAGTCATGATTGGGTATACATCGGAAGCATGCTGTTCATGATGACCGCCTCAGCCGGCATCGTCATCAACGCCTGGCTTCATCCTTACACCGCCATGGATCCCAAGTCGGGGCGGTGCCACACGGGAATTCAAAGGAAGGTCACGGTTCCCTTCCTGATCATCGACATCGTCATGGACATTGTCCTCACTGTGGTTTTCTTCTACCTCCTCCAGCCAGTCCTCAAGCAGAACGGGAACTGGAGCCTTCCGATTATCTTTGGCGGCAGCAAAACGCGAGCAGGAATGGTCGAGCTAGAGGGAAGCAACGATACGGCGGTCCAGAGGAGCATTCGATCATTGCTGCAGAAGAGCATTATAGGAGCGTTTGCCATTACGATTGTCACCCTTGTACTTTTCATCGTACAATACTTCTTTGTGGAAGGGAAGGGAGTCGCCTTGGTTTGCAGTACCATCTGCCTTGTAGATGGTAAGCTAGCTATGATCCCCTTCGAAGCCATATCTAACCGGTTCACAGTATTCTGGGGCTACGTCATCATCCATTGGCTCACCGATAGAGCATCCGCCGAGGCAGAAAAGGACATCAGCTGCTCTTCTGGGCTGACAATTTCGACACAGAGAATTGATCGTCTCCCGGCATGAACTTCGTCAAGCGGATCCTGTCCTCTTCATAACTTCACAGTTTGCGTGCTGCCTCCTAGCATTTCCACACTCGGAGAATTCTCATTTCAGGTCTTTAAAAGAACAAAATTTTGATTCTACCTTTTTTTCGCAAGAACTGCTTTGGTCCAGTGAGTATGGTCTCATAGTAAAAGAATGCATTCTTGGCTTGGCGTCTTGGGAAATAGTCTATGGGAGGATAGCCACTCGTGTATATCATGCGTTTCGGAGTTTACTAGATACTCGCCTTCCAAACATGGTAGTGAGTGTTCACATGTATTATTACTACATATATATACCCTGCTAAATGTACGACTCTTTGTTTAGCTCACGTGCTAGCGCTCAATATACGATCCACATCAGATGCTACCTTGAGAATCCATCACGTATCTGGACGAATGTTGCGTACCGATTCCTCGACCACCTCCGCGTGCGCTTACCGAACACGGCCATGGGTAGGCTCAGCCCCATAATCAGTAAACCTAGTACCCCAAGCACGATGAAGCAGTTTTCTAGACCGGAGTCGATCCAGAAGCTGGCGACAAAGGTAAATACCATCGCAAGCGTGTTATTGATGACTGCGACACCAACCATGCCTTCAAGAACCATATCACTGGGAGTGTTAGCAGCAACCTCGATATCATAGTAACCGTGAACCTACGGAAAAGAGTCTGCGAGGTACGACAAACTCAAGTCACCAGCGCAGCCATAGCCAAACCCGATGAAGCCCAGCCCAATGTATGGCACTGGCCAATCCCAACCTCGGGCCGTGCCGATGCCAAACAGCCAAAGACCGGTAGGGAAAATCAAGGTGCAAAGTGCCATCAGATACAGCCGGTATTCAGCCTCCATAACACCTTTGTTACGCTTGATCATCCACTGCATGAATGCATCGCTCCCGTATCCTCCATAAGCGCAACCAATAAGACTTCCAATCAGCGTGGGGATGTTCATATTGCCCACCGCAACAGACCCGTAGTTCCATGGTTCGCCAGGCCATGTGTCCTCTTCTAGGGTGAGATAAAAGGTCAGGCAGGATTGCTGGAAGCCCCATTGCAGTCCGGCATACCACACAGCAGGGAAGGTAAAGACCCGGAGGGTGTGCCACAGACGATTGAGATATTGCTTGAAACCTGTTCCACGCAGGTTGGGTGCCGGGGTGATGATGCGGATGCGCTCCCAATACGTCTTTTTCCGGTCCCCAGAAAGTGCCGTAACTGGGGAGGACTCGCTTGCTGTCTTCTCCCCGCTGGCATCTTCTGGAGAGCTTTTAACAGGCTGTTCGGCATCGAGGAGGACAGGGTCGTTATTACCGGCGAGGTGCCGATCGCGCGAAAACTCCGTCTCTTCTAAGCCAAAGTAAAAGACGACAAAGCTGCCGCCGCAAATGATGGCACCAATGTAGCCGATCCAACGCCAGCCGAGTCCGTTAGCTACGTATGCACCGATTAGAGGCCCAAGATAGGTACCGATAGCCGTCGCAAATGTGTACATTCCAAGCACACTACCAGTCTGATGCTCAAACCAGATATCGAGAAGCGACAGTTGCGCGGTAGCTTCGGCGACCGACTCCGCAGCTCCAACGAATAATTGACTCCACACCACACCAGAGACACTGTCGATGCGCGCATACCAGATAAGGCCGCCGATGTTGAGCACGAGCGAAGCAAGATAGCCCAATCTCCGCCCGTACAAATGCACAAGAGGAGAGCTCAAGAGAGCCCAGTAGCCGATGCCAATGAAAAGCACACCAGCGCCAGTATTGAAGACATCATAGCTGATGCCATACTCCTCGTTCACACCATCGGAGCCAGATCCCGCGTTATTCGAGGTCGCCGCGGTGAAGCCAACCATGTACAAGACTAGGAACGAGTGCCAGACTTTGCGCCACAAGGACCAGCGCAGCGGGTCATTAGGCGAGTTGGTGGGCTGAGGTACGAGGAGGATGCTGCGCGAATTCTCTAGCGACGAGTTTTCTGGGAGGGTTTGGCCGCTCGCGTAGAGTCGTCGCGTGCCGGGAATAACTTCTTCTTCGCTATGCGCGTTGCTGCAGCGCCGCATCCTGTTGGCAGACATGGCAGATTCAAAATAATGTCCGTACGACGCTTCCAGCGTCGCTGTTGTTAGCAGGGCAGCATGTCGTACCGAGAAATTGTATCGAGGCGCTTTCAAGCAGCAAGGGAGCGAGACTTTTTTCGTTATCGCTTTTACTTATCTCGGAAATGACGTTATGGAAACCGCGGGCCAACCAGAAACGGCAGGAGGACGCGTTATCGCCACAATGCACCGCCCACAACCATACCGTGTATACACTACACTGTGATTTGGAATAGCACCAGTATGAAATCTCGCGGTTATTGAGCAGCTCGTCCTATCAAGTAGTTGCGTCGAAGCCAAAGCCTCCCCCCGCGCCATTCAGCCGAGATTTTCGACGCGAGCAACGTCTCGTCTTCAGTAGCAACCGTGAGTTTCTCTGTGCCTCTACTTGCTTGTTTTGAATAAGCACAAAGCTTGACTTGCCATGGCGATATTTGTTCTGAGGAGTGATTGGTCAATACAGTTACCACTCTATTAACACATTCTGTGCGAATACTAGATCCCTGTATGTCACGTCTGCGGGTGAGCGTGCCGCGACGATGCTGGTATCGTTCCTGAGGCCTCATCCAAGATACCTATCGTTCCATTCTCTCAAGACCTCGGCGGGGACAAAAAAAGAGAAAACATACAATGTTAAGAGAGGAACTGTACAACATTCGTATGTCTTCTAAAAACATAGAATGGGCAGCCTGCTTCTATAGAACTTGTCTGCCGGTCTACACTAACGATCCTGGCCCCAAACATCCTTGAGAGAAGTGACCATAGCGGTGGGTACGTTTACCGAGCTCGTTTGCGATCATTGCTTTGCCTCAATCAGCCCCGGTAGGTGCAACTCGTTCTCAAGAAATACCGAATTGACCTCATTACTTACACATTTTTCCTCTTGTTATTGTTATGGCCTATACAATTACAACGGTGGAGTAATCTGTTGTAGAGATTTTACTGCGTCACGCGGAGGTTACGAATATTCAAATGCCTATTCAACTAACCATTTGGGCGGAGGTCCAAAACTCGACTGGTGTCCAGTATATTCGTTGTATGGAGCTCACTTTGAATAAAGAGTTTAATCTGGCTGAATGTAGCCATCCCTGGGAAAGAAGCAGGACCTTTATGCAGCACCTTGGTGTAGTATTGTAGTTGCATTTTTGTAAAAGGCCAGCCGTATATTACCCGAGTGTCTCTACATCACCAAAACAAATGGCGCAGCGAATGAAATAATCAATTTTCTCGACTTTCAGAGCGATCTGTTCAAGCGCCCAAGCACGCGACAATTCCTTCGTAAGTCGTTTCTCCTAACCTTCCCACGCGGCAGCTAGCATTTAATGTTGCCTAGCCTTAAATATTCAAAATCGATGATATGACATTCAGTACGATTACCAGCAGTATCTTACATATATCTCTTCTTGTCTCGTTCCTGTACTTCTATCACGTGAACACTTATGCATTTGGGCCAATGATAGGGCCTTGCTTACGCCTCGGTAACGAACGAGTTAGCCTGGATTTAGCTTGCCCGCTGATAGCACGGTCAGAGAGCAACCACTCGTTCTTCTTCATGAGCGGCAATATGCGAAAATACATGAGCAAGTCGCAGCGAGCATGTGATAGTTGCAGGGCGCGCAAAAGCGCATGCCGCATCGACTCTGCGCCTCCATGCCGGCTATGTCATCTCTCGGGGCGCGACTGCACATTTGAGGCCGCATCCAAGAATACACGCGCGTCTGCAGCAACTGCAACACATGTATCCCTAAACAGCTCTACGCAGGAACCAGCTGGCCCAGTAGTTCCAAGCCAGCAAAGCTACGTTTTGAATTCGGACGGTGCCTTCTTCGACCAACAAGGCTACCTTTTGCTAGGCGAATCACCAGATCCATCAGCCAACCTTTGGGTTGACCAAACCATGATGGACATGAACATACAGAACTTCCAACACATTAATCCTCCGCCAAACGATGTGTCCATGGACTATCCTGGACTCCCTTCACCGTCGGCACAGGGACTCGAGACGACAAGCATAGTCTGTGGCCTAACAGGGGACATGGATCCATACCTTATGCAAAGATATAATTTTGGCCCGGATAATAACTTTGTCTTCAAACGACTGGCCGTTCGTTCAGTGAGGCAAGATACCCACCCAGTTCAATTCCTAGTCTCAAACATCACAGATGTGGCGGAGGAATGTGACCAGCACAACCAGTCTCTTCGCAAACAGCTAGAGAAGCTTGTGAGTCCTGATGTGGGTGTCAGGTTAATCTCTTTGTACGAAAGACCAAGACGAATTACACTTTCATCCCAGTTCAGCTAACACATCCAGATTCTTTCGATTCGTGTACCCTCATTTTCCAATCCTTGCCCCAGCGCAGTCAGTAGAGCCTGAGCGATCAAATCCTTCTACTCTTGCCGCAATATATCTAGTTGCACTACCATTTGCCGGCTTCGACGACTTTCTCTCCGTCCAGATAGCATACGATCTTCCTGATGCAGGAAAACTATGGGACCTTCCCTTGAATGTGTTGCATCAGGAGTTGCATAAGCCAGATTTTTCCACCCTACAAACGTTGGTTCTGCTGTTAATTTCGCCTCCACATAAGCCGCTCATGCCTGATTATGCGACAAAGTGGTCGCTTGTTGGCACAATGGTCACCGTTTCACAGACAATGGGTTTGCACCTCAACCCCACACTTTGGAGCGTATCAACCGCCGAGATAGATTTGAGGAAGCGGTTGTCGTGGACTGTCAAGATGATTGATGTCTGGCATGCTGCTGTCTTGGGTCGGAGTTGCCTCATACATGATGACGATTGGCTAGTTCCACCACCATCTCTGGACGATTTTTCGGAAGAAGAAAGAAAAACGCCATTTCCTGCGCACTTCATCCATATGTATGAGCTCACAATGGTTCTACATACCACTCTGAAAACACTTTTGTAATTCTCCTCAAGCAGCCCCGCAGCAACAATCGAAGAACTAACATCTGTAGCACTCTCAAAGCGGTCCAAACTCTTGTAGGAGACTATGAAGACACATTAAGGAAGGCGCAAGGCCTAATGGAGAAACTCAATCGCTGGAATAGCGCTGTTGCCGACAGCCAGTCTGAGTCGCAAGACGAGGACATCAATTTGTCAGGTCCATTGCTTCTCGGAGGCCATTTTGTCAAAGTACTTCTCTTTCGAGCTATACTCAGACCTTTCAATACTTTGAGGTACAGAACAGTGCCCGCCAGTTCTACTGACGAGCATCGAGAGCTTGAAGCGTGCCGACTAGCACGAGCTGGGGCGAAAGGTTGCATCGCTAGCTTCGTGGCATTCACGTCCAATTTAAAGAGCAGCTGGATTCACGGATTTTGGCCTTTCTGTATGTAGCAGATGGCTATTGGGAATTTTTTTTCTTTTTGCTGACTGTGCGATTCAGGGTGCACGCTGGGCTGGTCAACATTGTGCAATCTTGCACTTCTGCTTCACGTGACAGCAGATAGTTCCGAAGAAGCACAAGAATGCCGGTCCCTTCTTGACCAAGCCAGAAGAGCTATCCGATTACAATCGAAATCACTGGATTTCCTAAGATTCTCGTTACTGCGCATCGATTCAATCTTCTGGAAAGGTCTAGACAATGTTTTCATAAGAAACGACATGGCAGAAAATATGAGTTTTGGACAGGAACAATTTGAAGTTCGGTCATAGACAGCTTAAGAGATATGGATCGCATTCAAACTTCCTGGATCTTACATGAGCAAAGACTGCAATTCAACTACTTGGCACACTTGTTTCCTTCCTCTACAGCAAGTTTCCCTGCATCCGCAGTAACCTTGCTCACACCAACCTCATTCGCCGCTTCAGTGCCTACAATCACTGGCACCTCCTGGAAAGAGTTTCGGAAGCAAACGTATAAGGCACACCCTGCAACAAAGCCAACGATGGCGAGAGAGCCGTACATCCATACCAGGTACGGGTCCTGCGACACGGGTGCAAGGGCAATGCAGATTGCGGCAGCAATGCCAATTGTTAACCAGAACAAGGAAGAAACAAGAGAACGAAGGCTACGTTACGTCAGTATACGTGACCTTTTGCATGCTGACATCTGTGACATACCTTGTAGGTGCCTTCGTATACGCCAACTCCAAACCAGTGATGATAACAAAGGCTTCAGAAAAAGCGACAAGGACATAAGCCGGAGCTTGTATCCAAACGTGAATACTGTTCTTTGGAGACTTGTAGATGTAATATTGGAGCACGCTTGCGTATGCCATAGCAATCGCCGCTAGTAGAAAGCCAGCCGTCATTCTTAGAACAGGGCTGAAGTTGATCTTATTCTTGCGAAGAAGAGGGTAGATCACAACTTTGAGTTTTATTAGTCCACTTCCATTCAAAAGTATAGCTTTCTTCGTTTCTGATACTCACAATCTAGTAGTGGAATGAATATGATCAAAGCGATGGGGTCAAGATTTTGCAAGAGGTCGTTTGGTGTACCGTGCAATGCCATGTCTCCAGCTTGTGAGATGAGATTGTTCCAAATTTGGATCCAGCAGACAAAGTAAAAAGGAAGGAAGAGGAAGAACTGCAGATGTGTTGGTCGAGTAAGGCCATGAGCTGGAGTAGAGCGTACCTTGCATGCAGTAATACCCATCTGTACTTCCTTTACAGACATGTCGGTATAGTTAGGGGACTGCGCAAAACGATGGCGCGAAAGAGTTCCCTGGGCCTCCAAAGCGCTTGGCTTAGCCTTTTCGAAGCCGCCTTCCTTAATGGCGATGGAGACGATACGAGCGGCATCAATGACGGCTGAGCCATGAGGCGGTGTTCGAACAAAGAGCCGGCTGCTGAGAATGAAGACCATTGCAGCAATGATGATAACCCTGTAGTCATCAGCAACTGCACCTAAAAGAAAACGAGCAAGCAAATCAACTTACACTAAAGGGATCAAGTAGGCGACCCAGAATCCCACATGAGCCTCGACGTTCACAGTAATCAGTGGCGAAAGCGCACCCACATTGACCGCCCAATAAAACCAATTGAACATGCGTTCAACCGTTAGTTCAGGGTCCACTATTACCCATTCGCCAGTCGCCAACTGTTTCGTATACGCCACATCAGGCTCGTACTGCTCTGCGCACATGGGTGTAACATTTGCTTTGATACTACCTGTGCCCAGTCCGATTACTACCATGGCCGTAACCAGACCGCCAAAACCAGCGCCAGACTGGATTCCTGCAGGCGTCGATGTAGCAACAAGGACCACGAGACCGACAATGTAAACACCGCATCCGAGGGCGATTGTCTTGAAGCGGCCAAGATACTGGTCTGCCACAATGGCACCAATGACAGTGGACGCATAGGCCCAGAATTTGAAAAAGTTGCCCAAAGCTGTAGCGACAGCCTGGCCACGGCCAAGACTGCCAGGGAGGTCAGAGTGTGGGTTGTGTGGGTTTCTTCAAGGAAGCTGTTAGTTATTATTTCCTTGTTTCCATATCCTAAACATATGTGAAGCACATGCGGATTGTCAGCGACGTTTTGGGACTCGGACTTACTTGATGTAATTCTGAATCGGCGCGCTCAAACCAAAATACGTAAATCGTTCGCCCAGCTCAACGATCAGGATGAGTAGCACAACCCATGGAATGCGATCGGGCACGCGTCGTAATGTGCTACTCTCTACACCTGGTGCAAGCCCGTCGGCTTCGATTTCGCTGCCATGCTTCAAGTCGTCATCGTGCATTTTCACGGGAGAAGTGCGATCCGTCATCGTGTTGGAATGCACACACACACTTAAACAGACATATACACGAAGATATTAACGAAATGGGATGGGGAAAACAACAAGTAGATGATGCGACAATACTCCAGACTACACATGCTCCTGTGCCCGCTATCTCTTTGTATACACATTTGTTTTCCGTACCGATGATAGCTAGCAGCTATCGCTATCGCTCACCCCGCAATATCCCGCAACCTTAGTAGGTTTGTGCTGAGCGGAGTGGGTCCGATCGGAGCCGATAGCGCTACCCACGAATACCGCCAATCAGCGCTCCGCATCAGGGCTGGGTGAGGCTGTTTGGAAATTGCTCGAGATCGAGGGTGCATAGCGGAGAAGGCAGAGGGAAGCTTTGAGAAATTGGTATAATACTTTTAGCGGAAATGTGTTCCTATCGATTATCGGGCTTTGGTAGGAGATTGACAAGTAGTAATGGTATCTTATCTGGAAATGAATCTTTCATGCAAATAGGTGTTATCTGGACGATGTCTTAAAATGTACGAAGGAAATACCGCACTGGGTTTTTTTGATGATATCTTGATCAGGTGGGAAAAACATGAAGTTAACTATAGGCGTAAAGATGATTCAGAAGCATTTAATCGGTACAATTCTCTCATTCCTGAAAAGATATCCATGCCGCTCACGGTAGTGTACTGCGAAAATGTTCTTCGATAATATTCATGGTGGATCAGAGATGAAACAACCTTACATAATTTTTGTTTAGATCAACACTGTTATCGATGCATACTATCTATTGGAGTATCTACGAAACGCGAGGCATGAATAGATCCTTTAGAGCAGTCCATCCACTTTCCTTACTATGCACAAAAAAACCAAACCAGTCCTACAATTTCGCTTTCTCAACATTGTTCGAGCTAACTACGGAATCCCGCAGGAAAGGAAGCGCAAGTCCCACTGCTTCCATTGCCATACCCAGGCCTGCCTGGTAGCCCGTTCCGCCCGCTCCATAATTATGCACAACGATACGGCCATCAGGCCGCGCTACTTTCTCGATCCGCGCGCCTCCCAGTCTCCCGGGTCTGAGACCTGCAAACGATGCCAGGATCTCTGTTTCCGGCACGTCCAACGAGGGCTCCAGTGCCGTCGTTCGTGTCCAGATAGAATCCGCCTCATGGGCAAAAGTGTCACCGGTGCTATGCAACTTGAGTACGCACCCTACTTGCATGAAATGTGTTGTGTGCACTTACCCGTTGCCCTTCTGCATAAACCCCCCAAGAATCACGTTGCCGTTGGAGTTAGGCCTCGGAATGATATACGTCTCGTAGTCCTTGCCATGGCGCATGGTATTCTGGGTGATTTGCGGTGCTCGTGCGAGCAGGATTTGGCCTCGGACAGGAAAGCAGTTCTCATCCTCGACGCCAGGAAGGTGCCGCGCGCCGTTTCCGGTGCAGTTGAACATAACCTTTGTATGTTCGCTCAAGAAAGCGGAATCTAAATGCTCGAGCTTACACCGGAGGAACTTGACGCCATGCTTTTCGAGCTGATGCTTGAGGTATTGGATGTGTTTGGGAGCATTGATAGTGACGGTAGTAAAGGAGATTCCGTACTTTACCCCTGGTAAGAGCTTATGTGAGGGTAGCACTGTGAACTTTTGGACGTGTTAGTAGTGAAGTAATGATGTTTGGGAATATACTGACATCTTGCAAGTAGCCCGCAAGAGACTTCAGTTTCTGCTCAGCTGGCTTTTCATCCCAGAACTCGAGTGATTGCGTCTTACTGATAGCAGCGGCGGATCCATGGGTATCTGCAAGCTTCATGAGACGTTGATACCCAGCCTTATCCCAGATAAGAGCATGTGCATCACTCCCAGATATCGCTGAAAAATTTGCGCCGGCCCTGCTTGGGTAAGATTTGTGCCATGAGCGGAGCTGTCAGCTGATTGCCATCGTACCAGGGCGATGTATAGTTGATGGAGGTGTCTCCTGGCAGGTGTTGCGCTACGATTGTTGTGTGACGTCCATATCCTTTCTCAGCCAGTATGAGAGCAACATCCAATCCTATCACCCCGGACCTACATTGATTCAGAATACGAAAGGCACAAGCGTCGTGAGAATAACATACCCAACAATGACTATCGAGTCTTGCATATTTGCTGTCGTATGCTCTAATTGATGGAGCTTTCCAGGGTTGATGTGTTTATATCTGAAAGTCACTGCTTGTTTGGCGGTTTTTATACCAATGATGCCTACTGGGCCCTAGTATTCTTCAAATGTGTAAGACGAGATTTTGCGCTGGTTGAGCTGTGCACATTGGTCACGCCACAACATAGCTGCTACATAGTGGAGCATAGGGCTCGTCCATTTTTCCGACGAGTTTCCCGTCCATCTTTCCGCATTTGCGTATGCTTGGCACTTCGAGTTTCCTACCAGTAATCTTCCAGATCATTTGCGTAAGGGTCCATTCGGAAGAATTTGTGGACCCTTATCGTTGGTCCAGTGTGCTGATAGGACCGCACAGCCTCCCGGCTTGGCATTCCTATCAGATCCGATGTGCAAGTAATGGCCAGATCTGGGATGACAAACATGTTCATCATCCTGTCAAAGTGGCATAATAGAAATAGCTAGCAATGTCTTTTAAGCCATTGTCGACAGAGATCTTTGATACACAAGAAGGGACATCTCCCGAATTCACACGTTTGATTAACTACTGAGGAAAACCATATCAAGAAGTATGACCGTAAAGATACTACCAATAGCAGACGGCCAGTCAAACAAAGCTTACCAGACCCCGGAAGAGTGGCTTTCAAGACTTGATCCGGAATGGGTTCGCGTCTGGAACAAATATGGAAGTCACCACCGTCAAGCCGAAGAAGTACCAATCGAAAAAGTCCGCCGGAAGCCACTCGCGTATAGCTTCACATATCCAACATGGTCAGGTAAGTATGAAATTGCACCCTCAATAGTTCATCTGCTGAGAATGAACAGGTCCTCGTGTGTTCAAGGAGAATGAGTTTGATGTTCCCGTTAGCCGACCTGCTGGTTATATCAAAGTCCGCGTGTATACGCCAGAGGGACAGGGTCCTTTTCCTGTACATATTAACTATCATGGAGGTAAGACAAATTATCATTGATGATGCAATTTTCTGATATCGAGCCAGGCGGGTGGGTTTTGGGTGGTCTCAATAGCGAAGCAGCCTGGTGCAGGAGTGTTTGTAACAACACTAGCATCGTCATTGTCGACGTGGATTACCGCCTCGCTCCAGAATTCGTTTTTCCCACAGCAATCTATGACTCTTGGGATGCACTTCAATGGGTTCTGTCTCATGCTGAGCATTTGAACATCGATGTCACGAGTGTTTCGATTGGCGGTCTCTCGGCAGGTGGCCACATGTCAGCAGTTCTTTCGCATATGGCGCGCGATGTAGGACTAGAACTCAAACTGGCATTGCTAGTTGTGCCTTCGACTGACTTCAGATGGCTCATCGCTGAAGAGCCTTTACGATCAGAGATTGCCAAGCGTTATCCCAGTACAGTGCAATACAAGGATGCACCTTGGGGAGGCCTGAAAAGAGAACAGTGGTTCTTAGATTATTGGATCCCGACCGGTATTTTGCCATCGTGTTCTTACAAGTAACACTGACCGCTAATAAAAGGCAGATATCAGAAGAGCTGCATGTGATGATTGGATGGCTTCACCCATGCTGGCCAAGTCCTTTGAAAGACTACCGCCAACACACATCATAACTGCTGAGTTTGATATATGCAGAGATGAAGCACATCAATATGGAAAGCTGCTAGCGAAAGGTGGAAACCTTGTAACCCAGAAATGTTATCCAGGAATGCCGCATGCGTTCGGGCACTATATTCATCCGGAAAAAGGTTTGACAAAAGGGCGTGAGTATCTTCAAGACACATCGAGGCTATTAAAGCAGGCTCATGGCCTTTGAGGTATCAATCAGAGTAGGAGAAAGACGATTCAACAGTGGTTGCTACTCCTCAGAAGTTTATTTTAGGTTCTCTATTACAAGAGTGCGAAATTGACAATTGTAGTGGTAAACAGATAGAGGTAAGGTTAGGTCACTAGAATAGCAGCCACTGCAGATGATTTTGAAACTAGTGCTGACCAAAGGCAGGTACGTTGGGTCTAATGCAGAAACATTATCACCACATCTTTATAGCGTGCTAACAGCCTATAAATTGATCAAATCTACATATAATAGTTACTTTTTACCAGCGTATCACGAGGCTATCAAAAAAGCTAATAGGAGATGCCACACAAGACGCAATCACATCAGGACATGTCAAGACGAGGATTTCCACCGCTACCACTTAAATTAGCGATAATAGAGGGTGCCGCTCGCTTAGAAGGGGGCTTGCCCAGCACGTTATCCGGATGCGTCTTGAAGTTTGGCGTGATGCCTACCAGCCCGTTCCGAACTCGAGCTCATCGGAAGCGTTTCTCAATCGTTCCGAGCATTAGCTTGCCCAAAACGGCCCTTCTTGAACAGAAACTAAGCTGCAACAATTGGGTGCCAAGTGTTATGTATATATGGACAATTAACGGTGGAGTACGGAAGTCAATAATTCCGGCTTCCGAATTAGCGGATAGGTGATTCCGCCATCAAAAGCGTGTATACTACAGTAAAAACTGGAGTTATAACGTATATCGTAAAATGATCCACTGTTACTCCACATCATCGTTCATTAAGACACACCCGAGCCACCTTCGTAACGCTATAGTTGAAAGAAAATATGGGCATACTTGGTAAAACGCAGAAGTAGGGGCAGTAGGGCGGTGGCAAAACTCGAGATTATGTAAGCTATCTGGTTTCAATACATTATTTGCCCACCTTAAGCAGCAATCACAGCCTCGCATCGGCTCCCCATACTATTATTACANCTGCCCCTACTTACGCTGTCAACCAAGTATCTCTTGCGAATCCATGCAACAGACGTAACGATAGTGGCGCAAGGCCAGGAATGCCCATGCACAGCCGCAGGCCCCACTCACATGAGCTAGGAAGCGGATGTCAGTGTATCCGGGACAGGGACATCCACGTTAGCTCGGACAGGGGTGAATGTGTATGCAAAACAGTATAAATCGTGGCAGAGTATGAGTCCCTCCAGCCGTCGACATTCCAGCCTCTCCTCATCTTGGAATCTTAGTCGTCATCATGACGGTCCTCTCGAAGTTCGATTTTGATCTTGGTGCGATCCGACAAGAGCATCTTATTCTATGTCTTCGTACGATAGGTGCCATAGTAAGATAGAAACAAATTCGATGACATCTCAACATGACTGAAAATGATAGATTATTCTTCAAGTGGTCCTAGGTGTCGCTTACAATCTTCTCTTTCATCCTTTAAAAAAATGCAAGTAACTGTAAATTCCACAGTGGAAAATTGGCCACACTAACTGAAAATTTAGTTCCTGGTCCGAAACTTGCGGCTGCGACGAACCTCTATTTCTATTACCGCGTGTTGCGTGGCGAGGAAAGCAGTTGGCTTTGTGAATGCCATGAAAAATATGGCGAGGTCGTCCGAGTTGGCCCTGGAAAATTGAGTTACATTGCTCCGCAAGCGTGGAAAGATATCGCTGGTCACCGTACAGGAGGACGCCAAGAATTTCTGAAAGACCCGAAGTTCTACCGTCGTGACACAAACGGCGATTATCACATTGTAGCGGAACCAGACACAGAAACGCACGGTCTGGTCCGCAGGGTATTCGCCAACGCGTTCAGTGATAAGGCCTTGAAGCTTCAAGAACCCCTCATCTCTTTGCATGTTAATAAACTGAAGAAGTTTATAGACAAAAATCTGTCCGAAGACCCAGAGACTCCCATGAATCTTGTGACATTGTTGAATTGCACAACTTTTGACATCATGGGAGATCTCACCTTTGGGGAATCATTAGGTATGTTGGATACGGGCAAGTATACGCAATGGGTCAAAGGAGTCTTTGAGGGAATCAAAGTTAATTCCCTGTTTCGCCTGGCACAACAGTACCCTGTATTGGACTTCTTCATGAAGGCATTGATGCCTCCGCCTATACGCGGTAAAGATGTCGAACATTTCCGCCACTCCAGTGATCGCGTGGACAAACGACTTGAGAAAGGAATTGACATCGGTAAATCTGATATCTGGAAGCTTGTGCTACAGAATCAGAAAGTAAAATTGCCTCTCTCGAAGATGCACTCAAACGCATCAGCCTTCATGGTCGCTGGCACCGAAACAACAGCGACACTGTTAAGCGGATTGACCTACTTGCTTCTTACACATCCAGATAAGTTGAAGAAAGTCGTCGAAGAAGTGCGCGCTCTGCCAAAGGAAGACCTAAGGCTTGAAGTTTTACCACGTCTGCAATACCTCAGTGTATGTTTTCAGGAAGCCCTTCGATGCTATCCACCAGTACCAATCGGCCTACCTCGAGTAGTGCCACAGGGAGGTAGTATGATATGTGGTGAATGGATTCCAGAGAAGGTAATGGCCAATCACATGTGTACACACTCATATCTCCGGCTAAGCTAACAATATAACATGATATAGACAACCGTTGCTGTTAGCCAAAAAGCTGCATATTCCTCTTCTCTGAACTTCAAAGATGCAAAAGACTTTGTTCCTGAGCGATGGCTGCCTGGTTCCGGATACGACACGGATAGGAAGGAAGTTCTACAGCCTTTTTCCTTTGGTCCACGTAGCTGTCTTGGAAAGAAGTACGTATCCTATTCACACAAGAAGGAATTGAAATTAACGAATTGTCACAGCCTGGCATTTCATGAGATGCGCCTGATTGCTGCTATGATACTGTGGCATTATGATCTTGAGCTATGCCCAGAGAGTAAAACCTGGATAGATCAGAAGGCGTACATAGTTTACGAAAAACCAGAGCTCATGGTCAAGCTCAGGCCTGTTCAGAGATGATGATCAAAGACTATCTTCATCTTGCAAAACCAGAGATTAGATTGAGAATTTTTTTAGGAGTTATAGGTCTTGTGCGCTTAGTTCTGGTAGTAACAGAATGTATGCTTCTCTTAGTACACTGCTCTGTCTAATGCCACATGTAGGCAAGTGTCCAGGTTAGTTCGGGAATTTCGTGATCAGCGTCAACTGCGCAGACAACATGAATAGGGTTGAAGCTACATTTGGCTGGAATGGCAGATGCACTATCCTTCCAGGTGCGCTCTCAGCATATCGCACAATCGCAATCAAACCGTTCCTTGCAAGTCTTCGCGAAACCACGTTCATGGGTACACCAGTTAAGTATGGAGAGGACATTGAGATAACGCTAGGTTTACTGTATGCTGGTTGGAAAACGGTGTACCAGAGTAATGCTGTTGTCCACACCATTGCGCCAGAAGATGCTACTCGAGCATTCTTGATGTACACGCGTAGGGAAAGAAGTTCGTACGTGCATTTGCTGTCAAGCTTCACTAAGACAACCTGGCCTGCCGTCCTCAGACAACTTGGTACCCAGCTTCTCAAGGATGTGAAAGTCAACACTGGAAGCCATTTTTATGTTGACATATATGAGGAAGAAAAGCATTCTCGACGTACTGCCAACTCGGACGCTGCGTCAAGGACAGGTATAGGGTGCCTATTCTTGCTCACCAATCTCACATCAACCACTGTGGGCAACTGGTTTGTTCCCCTTAGCCTTGTACGCTCAGATGTACATGGCTATCTCTCGCCCTGATGCGATTCCGATAGGCTGTCTCATCACAATTTTGCTATCGGGCTTTCGTTCTCTTCTTTTTTTCGCTGATTGTAGCAATGATCGAAGAAGCGAAGGAAAAGCTACTGAAGAAGAGGAGAAAGGAACAGGGAGCTTGAACCGGACAAACTCATCAAAGCAGGGCCAAATACTGCTTCAAACAGATGATGACAGGACGGCCACTCCGATCGTAGAAAAAGATCGGCCTTGGATATTCGGTCGAATAGCGCGACTTCCTTGGCGGTTACAGTATGGATGGCTCGCTATACTTTTTCACGCGAGTTTCATTAGCTGGTCATCTATTATCGCATTGTGAACTATCAAATGTCAAAAATGGCTCACAAGATAGAGCAAAAATAGAGCATAGCGTATTGTAAAGTAGCGATAGTAGCAATTGGATCTTGTTTAGGCGGCCCACTAACGTGCCAAACCAACCACAGCCGTGCCTACGCATTCCTTGCATCTTGAGATGTAATAGCTGTGCAAAGTGCTACTCCAGTAAATCCCAATGCAAGTTTCAGGTTCTACTACGTAAGATACTCGAAATCCTTTGCCTCTCCTATTGAAACCTTTTAACATGCACTGGGAGTTTGTAGTCAGTGTAGATGAGACTACTGCCAGCGTCGCGCTCCCAAATGAACCCGTCTGGATCTAGCAGCTCGAAGTCATACCGCCATAGCAATGTCGCCATGATGAGCCGTATGCTCTGTTGAGCCATGTGTCTCCCGATGCATGCTCGGCTTCCAATCAAAAATGGACGACTAGCAGACCTGTTATCTCCATTGAACCCGTTCTTCTCCGCATCCTCCAACCATCTTTCTGGGTGGAAGCGTGCTGGATCGACGAAATACTTTGGCGATCTTTGAATCGTGTATAAGTCAGCCGAGACAATAGTACCTGCTGGTATGTATGTGTCTGCTATAGTACACGAAGGGGCGGTGCGTTGCGCTGTTTTACCGTTTGCTGGCGGAAGCAAGCGCAAGGTCTCGCGGATGCAGGCATTGAGAAATGGTAAACGTGCAAGCCTTTCGCCTGTAATCTCGGCTTCGTCGTTGAAAGCAGAGCGTATCTCGGTACAGAGAGTTTTGTAAGCGTCTGTGTAGCGCAGGACGTGATAGAACGTGGAGGCTAATGTTGTAGCTGTAGTTTGATACCCGGCAAGTCTGGGCGCTATCAGTGACGGATCTTTGATGAAGGGGGAAAGGTGCGACAAACGTTAAACCCATTGCATTGCTAAAGAATGCATCCGCGTCTAGCGTCAAGCCTTGCTTTTCGCTACCCATGATGGCTGAGAGGAAGTCCTCCCTACCATCTTTCCTTTCAACGCAGCTACAGATATGTCAACATGATAGCACACAGAGTTTGACGAAATTTACTCACTCGCGTAGTTTTGTAGATGGCACAAGCTTCGACAGCTGAGAGGACATTGGCATTGCTGAAAGGAAACTTCTAGCCATCTCCAGTGTCGGGGCTACGCCGGGCATGACAAGCATGAAGCTTAAGGCTTCCACCATAGGCATCGATCCTTTACCTAACTGTTTCAGTTTTTCATATGTTGCTTGGGAAAAGTTAGTTTACGGTTACTCATTAAGTTGTTTGTTTGGTGCTTACGGCGTTTTCCAGCCATTAATGGCTCCCCAAATGCAAGGTCGCCAATTATCTCCCAGAACATTGTCTCCAGTTTATCTGCAAGATCTATATGGTAACCCTTGTCTGCAGTTTCGTCGAAATCGGGGATGGCCTTCTCGATGTGGAGCTTTTGAATTGGTTCCTGGCTTGCGAGTGCTTGGGGTGTGAAGGCCTGCTGAATGACTTTGTGTAGTCTCTTATGAAGCGCTGGATCTGGAATTGTAATAAGAGTAGGGGCGTTCAAGACGAGGTCTGAGAAAAGAGTCAAGAACGTTCCAGCTTTGGAAAAACGGCCGTCTTCTTGGTTTGCATATATCGCTGTTTCTGCTTCGAGCGTCGCAAAAGACACTTCATTTGGTGCTACTCGTACAACAGGTCCTACTTGAAATCAGTCCAGCTATCTATTTAGCAATCACATAGAGGGATCTTGCCATATTTCTCGTGGAGAGCTTGGAGTTCTGAATTGAATTTCATACGATACAGAGCTCTCATACCCCATATCTTTCTTACTCAGAATTTTTTGCAAACCATACGATCACAAGGGACCCACCGGAGAGAACTTAGCCAGGAAGGGGCCCGGAACGTGTGAAAGTGGGTGCAGGTAGCACCCATAGACTACAATCGATGTCAAAACGAATACTGACTACAAAAGCCATATTGTTAGTCGTATGCCTTGAGCGTTCTGAATGATGAGAGTGCAAGAACCTACAATCGCTGCTGCTGTGCCAATCTGCTGGCCTACGCTCAGCCCCTGGAGGAGAGAAATCACTGCCATCGTGGCTGTCGTAATCCTTGGACCGAAACTCGACTTTGGTGTTGAGGAATCGTCTGTAGTTTCATGGGATCAATGATTAATTGGATTGCATCCTGCATCGGCGACCAGGAGCCGTGCATACATGCCATGGAGAGTCCTGGCCAAGGTTTGTTCGGTTCGCGGTCTACTAGTTTCGGATCATGAAGCCTCACCAAGTTAAAGTGCATGTTAGCGTTCAAGACGCGAGTTGGTGGCGTAGAAGCATGCATGATCTTAGCGCGGGAGGGCTGATCATGGCCGTTTGCTTTTATCCGGCCGGCGACGCTAACGCATCCTGCTCCTTCCAGAAAAACGCCAGCCGCACAGTAGCGTAGGATTCATGGGCGCAATCGCGTGGGGGTGGGAAATCGGACCCTGGCTCCGCGGCTCTGCACTGCATGCGCGCCATTTTACACCAACGCAGCTAGCGCCCTACTTGTGTGCATCCACAACGACGATACTACCCATGTCGGAATGCATTGCTCCGGCGGCAAGAGAACGTGGATGAGAAACTAAGGACATATACTGGCTGCCCCAAACTGTTCGGTATCGTGTTCACAATCCGTTCGCTCCACTCAACAGCATGCAGAAGACAGCTGTCAGGTAAGAAATAAGTGGGGAATACTACTATAGCAGCTCTACTAAGAATGATCCTCCAAAAGGATTTTGGACGGCACAGTAGATTGGCGGAGATTGTTGGCGGAAAAACATCATCCACTCATACCTAGCGCACAGCAAGCGCTTCTTAGAACACGACTAGTGAAATTTCGTGCTAAAGTAGCCCAACATGTGCTCTCGATGCAGCAGACTATGGTCTGGGTTAGTAGATACAGATGCATGCGCTGTGGATACAAACGCTCGTTGGTTGGTACGAAGAGCGTACGAATAGGCCGTTCACAGGGTTCCAATAATGAACATTACAAAACACCTTCTCCCAATGTGATGGGTCCTATGCCCAGGCTCAGTGTAGCGCTAGATAAAGAAGGAGTGGACGAACCAGAGCAAGTTGAACCAATGATCACGTGTTTTTATCCAAAGCAGACTGTGTACAAATGCTTTCGTTCGATGCTGTGTACAACCAACCACTATCTCCACATCTACTGTTTTAGCCATCCTTTTTGACGAAACATCGCAAAATGGAGCAGCTTTCATATCAGTCCAAACTGATTTGCTCCGACGAGTCTCGTCACACTGGATGCTTCACAACACTCCCTATCCGTATCCATCCTCGAGATGACTTGGCTGATGCAGCAAGTCGTCGTTTTGTACAAGACTGGGCCAGAGAGATGAGAGATGGCCGTGAGCAGTCTACTCATTTCTCATTCTCGCCGGTGGGAAACTGGTCGTCCTTGATCTATCCCGAAGCAATTCCTGAGAGGTTGGGAGTCTTGGCCTATCTCTCGGACTTGGGCTTGATTCATGATGGTATTTAAATCTGCTTCAAGTTATGTCGGCCATGCTAACGTGAGTCTAGACGGTGGTGAAGGCTTAAGCATTGAAGACGCGCAAGCCGAGCATGGTGAACTCTGTGCTGCGTTAGATCCTAGTGATATCAGCAGCGCCGCGCCAGGTTCAAGGGCGATGAAAACTAAGAAGCTTGTGTCCCAGTGTATGCTTGAGTGTATCAGTCTTGACCGAGAATTGGGCCTGAAGATGCTCGCGGCCTTCCGCGATGTCTGGCTCGCTATTAGCGAGAGGAACAGCGACAAGGAAGCGCAAACTATGGAAGAATATTTGAAATATCGGAGCGACAATGGTGGAATGCTGTAAGAGACTGAGTTTTGTTGCAAAATCTAGACTAATTTTTGACAGAGTCTTCTGGCCGATGCTTCAGTTCAGCCTCGGGATGTCCATATCTGAAGCAGAAGAAGCGCTCGTACAGCCAATCATTGACGCAGCGACCGAAGGACTTCTCCTAGCGAATGATTACTTCAGCTGGGAGCGCGAGTATAGAGAACTCCAATCCGGTCAATCAAAGAGGATTGTTAGTGCTGTTGACCTGTTCATCCGGACGAAGGGACTCTCAATCGACGATGCAAAGGAGGAGGTCAAACGCAAGATCATCGCCGCTGAGCGCGATTTCTGTCAGCGCCGTGACGATCTTTACACGAATCATCCTAACATACCATTGAAGTTGAAACGTTGGATCGACTGCGCTGGGCTAGCTGTCTCAGGAAATCACTATTGGTGCTCGGCTTGCCCAAGGCAGAATGCGTGGAAGGATATGTCTTCACAGAGTCTTAACGGGGCCAAAAGAAAAACATCGCATGGTGCAACGATCGGTATGCACGAAGCACCCTTCAAGAAGAGGAAAGACTCGAGCTTCTTTGGTTCTCAGCCCAGCGATGATGAACCTTCACTCTCCGAGGTGTCAAGCTACCCGTTTTACAAGCCGTCGGGACTTGCATTGGAGGCACCTTCAAAGTACGTCTCCGATATGCCTTCAAAAGGCGTCCGAAGCACGCTCATAGAAGCTCTCAACACATGGCTTCACGTGCCGTCTGAACGGCTAGACTCGATCATGTCTGTTATCAACACACTGCACAATGCGTCACTTATC